ACGGCGGTGCGTGAATGGATTTACCCCTCCCACTTGTGGTAGTTTTACTGATATTTCTTATCCCGTGCGAATCGGCCATTAATATTACTGACGTCCTGTGGTAAAGTGACATTACCCCACGTGCCCATGTAAAACTAATCCCATCCGAATAGTGCTTTAGAGACACTCCACAAGAACCATGTGCAGACAAAAACAACTAAACAATAGAGAAAACAATATATAACAAATAGAAGACTGAATATATACACAGCACTAAATTAAAAGGGTGAAGACACTGCACAAACATCAGGCAGACCGTCATAAAATGCAATACCTTTCCCAATCTAGTTATAAGCGACAGACGATCATCCTCAACAAATATAAAGAATATAAGCATTTAATTCAAGCCAAAGGCAACACAGTAGCGGCTGCCAAAAGTCAGAAAGGCGGCTGGCAAAAAATCGCTGACTGTGTGAACGTGTGAAGTTAATGGGTTTATATATCTTATGACTTATGTATATTGTGTACTATACAATATCATTACCTCAAATGTGACATGAGTAGATCTGTCTGCAATTACATTAGTGTATGATTAGATGGTGTATATGACAAGTTGAACCTCATTCTTTCAGTTCTAACCCAGACAGTGTGAAACGCACATGGGAGCAAATTAAAGATAAATGTGAAAACATAATTCAAAGCAGTAGGAGGACTTGTTCTCATGTTATGTAAGTACAGGAAGTAACCTACAAGGCTGTAGTGCCTTGATCACTATCTGCTGTTGGATAATATCAGTATAAAACAAGCACAATGAAATGATGGTTAGCTGTTCAGCACAAGTTGCCACGGTGATTTATCCCAGTAAAAAGAGTACTGTTTTTTTAACTGATTAATCCATGTTTAAATAAGAGTGGACATATTTCATACATTTGTTTCATTTAATTTATTTATACAGGAAAGGAATTAAAAGTAACAGTGTGTGTTACAGTTTAAACTGGCCTGACTCAGTTAAAAACTGGTTTTCAGCAGGTTCCTGTTCTGCAACAAAAGCACATTACAGTACAGGATATTAACAAAAACGATCAACAGAGGCAAAACAACAAAATGTAGGCGGCTACATAGACAATGCAGAGTAGAGGACTGAAGTGGAGTGAGTAAAATGGGATTTGAATCAGTGGTGCAGGTAGTGTTTATATGTGTGTTTGAAATGTGTAATAGAGCTTATTGCTCTAATGTAGAGTGGGATCTCGTTCCAAAAGTAATAAATATATTTTTACTGGAAGAGAAGGATTTGATGTGAAATTGCTCAAAAATGATTCTTTCCATGCTGGCATGAACTAAGAAAGCTGAACAACAAGATTAAAGCACAGCACACATTTTCATTTCACTGTGTCTTTAAAAAGACAGCTGGGGTTTTCCAAATGTCTTCATGGCTGAGTTGTTACACACTGTACATACCGTCACGTCGCCTTTGCCCTGATATTGAACAGTAAATAATAACCGCTCCAGTGGCGTGAGAACAGATGTTGAGATTAAAGGTGATTACCTGCCAAGAATGTTGATTTAAACCCGATAACCACATTCCCTGGTAACCCGTATTGGCAAAAGACAAAACATGTTAAGTCTGATTTGGTTGAAGTGATCTATTAAAAAGTGCAAAGTTACAACACCAACACTGAAAACTACACTAAAGGATATTTTTAATGAGTTTTCTTTTCCCTACCAAGTAGGTACCTGGTGTAGAATAACTGCTGGACGTAGAGGTGCTGTGTCCTCATCAGCACCTCCACCTCTCTGCTCTACTCCGTTCATAGAGAGCTGTTTAAGTGTGGAACACCAGTATAATTTGTGGTAGAAAAGAGATTGTCCAAACTGCGTCAAAAGCAACCCAATCACCTGAAAAAACGTTGGCATTGTACGTTTCTGCAAACCATGGACAAGTTACATTTGGGTAACATGGGTTAAAAGTAACTGCCTGACTTTGCATGCACTTTCATGAATAATAAATGACAGAAAACCAAATTGTGACTGCAGAGTAGGGGTGTCCCTGACTAAGAATTTTCATAGTCGAATCTGATTTGACAGATTTTACCTTTAGCCAACTAATCATTGAATCATGTTGTTTTCCGCCTCATTGATTAATGAGCTCGCATCAGTTTCCGCTCCAGAGAAAAGAGCTAAAACACCCAAATAAACAAATTTTAATTCTTTAGTAGTAGTAGTAGTAGTAGTAGTAGTAGTAGTAGTAGTAGTAGTAGTAGTAGTAGTAGTAGTAGTAAAACAGTTTTCCTTCTTTCTGACTTCAAGTTACTTCATTAATCAACTCAGGTTCATACAAGTTCATCCACACGGACCGTGCATCACCGCTGTCAATCGTCGGACAAAAAGTAGCCAAATAAAAAATCAGAGTCTATCAAGAAAACAATCAGCGGTGAAATTTGTTTCAAGACACTTCAGGTAAATGAATAATCCTCGGAGAGGAGGGAGAAAGTTTAACAGCGAGGAAAGAAACAATTACAGGTTTAGTGCCTGTCTGATACTCCCTGGTGTCTAAAATCTTCTGTTGTCCTTCAAAGATCACAAACGATAACACCATCAGGAAACATGAATGAATGCCACTCACAGGTAGAACAGGGGAAACTGGAGGGACAACACTGCGTTGATCTTCCCTGCCCATCTCTCCACCTGCATCTCAGTTCTTTATCAGCCCTGCTGTACTTATATCTGCCTCTTCTCTCCAGTCACAGACAGTTTGGCATAGTTGCCTTATGTCTCATGCCTCAGCTCTAACATCTCTAACTTGTCTCTTATCCATTCCCTGGGTCTCTGCCACCTGCTACCTACCTGCCTGACCCTCGGCCTGATCTCTGGACTTTGAACCTTGTGACTGTAAGTTTTTTGCAGTTTTCATAAATCCACTGAACTGATCCTGTCTGCCTGCTTTTTACTGTGTTTGAGTCCGTAGGCTCCTACATTGGTACACCTTTTTATATATAAGGCAATTCTTGGTCTGCTTCCATATTACCTGTGTGTTTTCATCACGCAAAAAAACACCGGGCAGTATTCACTGCGTTCTCAGGACCTCTTTATGCTCTCTGTCCCAAATGTTCGGACTGAAATTGGGAAAAGGGCTTTTGGGTATTCTGCACCCTCAGCCTGGAATTTGTTGCAGAATGATTTAAAACTGAAGGAGCTCGTGTTGTTACGTTTTTAAATCTAAATTGAAGGACTTGGAAGCAGTTTCTATGGGATGTCGGTTTTTAGCTTGACTGTTTGTACAAATTACTCCCAGAAACACTCGTTTTGATTTACTGGTAGTTTTTCTTTATGCAAATTTTAGTGCTTGTGAATTGTACTTGTTCTCCCTGTATGTCTCTGTCTGCAACTTTGTGTTTTTGCTGCTGACCGTCTTGGCCAGGTCTCCCTTGAAAAAGAGATTCTTAATCTCAACGGGACTAACCTGGCTAAATAAAGGTTAAATAAAATAAAAAAATAAAATAAAAAAAATAAAACACGCCAGCACACACCAATAGTGATAGCAGATTTTCTCTCAAAACTTCAAAACTTTTACTTTATCTATTTTGTATAGTTACTTATGCTTAATGAAGTTTCTGTATCGACTAGACACACAGATTTGTGTGAAGCATCCATGTTTTCACAGACATGGATGGAAACCATCAGAAACTTGAGTGGTTTGTGAAGGTATACAACTGCAAGGCTGCATTTCTAGTTTTAAAAAATTATTATTATTATTATTATTGTTATTGATATCACTGGTAAAATAACATGACAAACAGTGTGACCATGTGCATAGAACATAAATAAGCAATGTAGCTGCGAGATGTATCCAAGTTTAGTGATCCTGGACAGGCTGGTGTGTGGAGTAAAGGTCTGTTCCACGTTTTTCTCCTCACTGACTTGGTCAATCCATGTGAAATTTGGCACAGTGGTAGAGGGTCATGGGAGGATGCCAATGAAGCAATATTACATCAATTGGCCAAAGGGGGGCGCTATAGCAACCGACTGAAATGTCAAACTTTGAATGGGCATATCTCATGCCCCGTATGTCGTAGAGACATGAAACTTTGCACAGAGATGCCTCTCCTCATGAGGAACACATTTGCCTCAAGAACCCATAACTTCCGCTTATATAGATTTTCCGCCATTTTGAATTTTTTGAAAAACACTTCAAATGGATCTCTTCCTAGGAAGTTTGAGCGATCTGCATGAAACTGGGTGAACATAATCTAGGGACCAATATCTAAAGTTCCCTCTTGGCAAAAGTTGGAAAACTTACTAAAACTGAGCTTCTATAAGGCAATGAATATTGCGGAGGGCGTGGCTCATCACATAAAGGTGTATAACATCTCAAGGGTTTCACCCATCACCACGCAACTTTGTAGGCATATGACCACACATAATCTGAGGGGACCCCTCCATTATTGACCCCATCAAACAAAATGGGGGCGCTAGAGAGCTCATTTCTTATCTAGGCCTAACCGCCATATGGATTTTTACTAAACTTGGTAGATATGTAGAACAGGACGCCTCAAGGTGACTGGAGAAATTTAACTCTAATTGGCAACTGGGTGGCGCTATAACAACAGAAAAATGCTTCAAAATGGCTAAAATGCGACCGATCGCTGTGGCTCCCCCTGTGGACCAATGTTGGTGTTGTTTTCTAATGTTTGGTATGACTAAGTCATGGTATGGTATGCTGTACATAATCACAGAAAATGTCAGTGTGTCATTCTGTCAGTCAGTCATTCTGTCTGTCCCACGTTTTTCTACTCACTGACGTGGTCAATTTATGTATTTAAACTGCACATAGGCATTGAGGACTGGCATAGGTAGAAGGTGACAAAGCTACCAATGGCTATGGACTAGTACTTATATATTAATAAAACAACAATAAGGTAAACAACACAATGTAAGCCCCAACATGAGCAGTTTTTTGTTTTCACCAAGGCTGGATTTTACAGTTGGTTTATTGTGACAAACTGGTGAAAGGCTAAATGACTGTGATGTTTTTCTGTGTTCCATCAGTGTTGCTGCTGATGGCCCTGCACGCTCCATCCTCAGAAAGCCTCAACAGCTGTGAGAAGGAGGACGACGAACCAGGTAAACCAACGCTTGGATAAGGATAGAAATAGCTTGCAGACAGCAAATAAAAAGAGTTTGAAAATAGAGGGACAAAAGAAATTCTATGAAGCCACAACAGTGACGGTAAATTTTGGCATCACAAACAGAACATGGGGTACTATTCATCTGCTTTACCACTGAAGAATGTAAAATTTAGAAAACATACCATTCAGGGGAAATATAGGTCTTTTTTTTTTTTTTAACTATTCTTCAACCAATCTCTACCAAACTGTAGAGATGTTGACTGAGACTGTTTAGAGACTTGAAAAAATGTTAACTTCTTCTGTTAGATTAGGACTAACTAATGTGTTTGGCCAACATAAAGCTTTCTTGTGTAATGTTGGATGGGTTGCTGGAGTGTGAACATCCCCAAAATCAAAATTGTCATGAATGGGATCTTTTTTAGGTTACTTGTAACTCCACAAGTCAGTTAATGATTAGTCTGAGTGGGCGGAAGTTCGCTGCATAGATCAGCCTCTCATTGGGCGGAACGAGCCACCCGCTGAAGTCCCGCCCTACCACCTCCGGTTGTGTAGCAGTTTTCAACCGTTTTCAACACGTCCTTTACATTTTTCTGCCATGGTTCGCGTCCTGTAGACAATATTTTTGTGGGCGTGTTACACCAAAACCGCCCAGAACGATTGTGATTGGTTGAAAGAAATACAAGCAGCCGGGGCATTTTTTTCTCCAATCTTAAAGTGAGAGTCGGTGTAGCCAGACCTTTCTTTTCTTGAGAAAGGTCTAGTGAGCGAGACTAGCTAATGATATGCCCTTAAGTAACACTATTAGTTAGCTTGGCATGCTAACCATTGCAACTTATTTTACAGCAGTTAAACATGCAATCAAGTTCATTTGTGATTGTGATTTTTGGTTATGGAAAGGCTGGAAAAAGTGTTTGCAATGTGCTTAAACACGAGAAATACGGAGCTCAATCAAGACAGAAACCAACATATTCTCATAGAACAGTTCACAGGATATCCTACGAATTTGCACCCAATTACTGGCGTTACGTTCTTAAGGTACAGTTACATCATTTACGTAAAGTTAGCGGTAGGTTTAGGCAATAAAATTTACTCTGGTTAGGTTTAGGAAAAGAAATGAGGTTAGGTTTAGGAAAAGAGACATGGTGAGGATGTATCTTAAAATAACTAGTAATAATTCACAGGGGTCTGAACATGCAACTCCAGGGTAAAATCCTGAGCGAAAGTCCGTTTGTTTTTTTTCATCCACCACCCCAAGCTGCCATCTTACAAGTGCTTGGGACTGCTTCATTGTCTACTGCCGTCAGCGCATTGGTCACGTGATCGCAGCCTTTCAAAATGTGTGGGATATGTACGAAGTTGGGTGCATTGCTTTTTGTCCTTTTTTCCAGTTTTTGTTTTGCCCTATAAAACAATTATTTCAAATTTAGCCTAAAAAGCATTTGAAGTACTGAAATGTCATCTGGTTTATTCCTAAACATTGTTCCCTTCTGTGCCTTTTTTCTTTCTTTTATACAGTCCTGTCATTGAACCCAGATCTTGAGGACAAGGTTCCTAATTTTACTGTGATAGAACCGACAGATCAACTTATTACTGCCACGACAGCCGTTGTTCTCAGGGGGATTCAGAACAACCTGAACCAGTCTTCCTCCAAGGTTGATCAAACCAACCTGGAGTGGCAGACTTTTGACGGCACTATTCCCAAAGGAGCAGTTTCAATCTACAACGGATATGTTGGACGCACCGACTATGTTGCCAAATATAAGTGCACCGCTGGCTTCTACAACCCTGACAAGGGTCCTTACTGCCTCTACCCCTATGAAGAAAAAGAGAATCAAGACTCCACATTTGAGATCCTGGTGAACAAAGACAACTTTGAGTTTCTGGAATGGAAGGATGGCTCCTACGGTTCAGTCCCTCAGAATTCAGTTAAGACCGGACCCGAAGACATATATGTTGCGAAGAACATGTATGGTCTCGGGAAGGTACATGTTAAACATAAGGCCTTCTTCCTTCCCTGGGAAGGTTATGAGTATTGGTACAAGACTTACAAGGTCCTGACCTATAACAATGAAGTAGTAAGAGAGCACATAACTGATGTCAAGTATAAAACTGATGATGTTGATATCATTAAGTATCCTCCAGAGAACATGCGCACATCTGTCATCTCCAACCGTGACAGCCGGTCAGTAACACAGACAGTTACCCTATCGAAGAAATTTCAAGTTGAGAAAAAGTGGGACCACAGCTTTTCCCTCACAGAAGGAGTCCGGGCTACCATCACTGCTGGAATCCCCCTAATTGGCTCTACAGAAATCGAGTTTAGTGCATCGACAACCTATCAGTTAACCAAGGGGACCACTTATGTGGAGGCAACTGACCACACTGTCTCTATTCAGCAGACTGTCCCACCAAAGCACCAGAGCACTGTCAGAATGGTGGGATATAAGTACGGTGCAGCCATCCCTTACACGGCACGCATCTGCCGCACCTACAGAAACGGTGAGACCTCATGGACGTCCATCTCTGGGACCTATAAAAGAGTCCAAATTGGAAAGGTCTGTGGTGTGGTGGATCCCTGTGAACCTCTACCCTAAAGTCCCTGTCAATGAACGAATAACAAAGAAGGTATATTGAGATATTGTACCTGGCATATTGTATGTTGGACACATGGAATATTGTAATGAAAAGCTAAAAATGACCCAGCTAAGATGGCCGCAGTGGTGTTTCTGTGAGCGTTTGCTGTGGCCTCAGTTTTCACCATGAATTACTTTGAGTTGCCTTTAAGAATTAATCTTTTGAATTGGTCATCTCCAATTGTTACACTGTTAAACAAGAATCTACAGACCTGACCTGCACAACAAAAGTTGTAGTAAAAAGTTGTTGACAAAAGTCTCGTCCTTTGCCGTGGACCAAGTTCTGGTCTCTAATCAAACCATCTGGAACTCCACACAGCAAATTGAAGTCTGATATGCCTTCCCACTTTGACTCAAAAATGGATCTTAATTAAAGGAACTTAAATTCAGTTCACAAATCACAGTCCACACTTTATGATCAAGCCCCAAAACTTGCTCTCTGCGTCAGCTCTAATATCAGATTTGCAAAAACGTGTCAGAACCCTGAAGAAAGAAAACTCCTGCATGAAGGAAAAGGTTGAAGAAGAATTGAAGTCTGCCCTATAATCCTTGCTTCCTGCATGTTTCTGAACAAGCTGAGGGCCAGGATATTCTTGGTGTTACAAACCAGCTGATACCACTTTTTCTTGGTAAAGAGAACCTCCTAACTTTGGAAATCATCAAGCTGGCTCACCATTCTACCACTGCACGTAGACAAGATTATGTAGCCAGTCAAAGGCCAATCCTGTTCAACTTCATCAAGATCCAGAATAAAATGAGGATCCTTCAACCCTACTAAAATAAAAGGAACTCATCTTCAAAGGTGTGCACGTTTTTTATTTTTTTTTTTTGTTTTTGTTTTTTTTTTTCAGATTTTCAGTGCAGGGTTACCTAAGAAACATCGACTGTTCGATCCCATAAAAAAGAAGCTCTGCAACTTAAGTTACTGTGTACTCTACTCTGCCATGCTATAAGTTCTCTGCCCTGATAATGCTGAGGTATTTCCTCGTGACATGAAATCTCCATTATTCCACGGGTGATAAAACTTCTTTCTTCCTCACTAAGTACTGTTTGTCTTGTTTCTATCATTAATTTGTTATGATGGTAAGGCATACCTTCGATTTGCTGGAACCTGCATCAGGCTTTTGAGAAGGAACTTTGTCGCAACTGCGGCATGTTGTTAAACCAAGCCATGCCATGTTAATTCACTTTCTGTTTGCAGCAAATCATACCACAAAGCATCCATGGAGTGGATATAAGGATGGACAAAACATCTCAACTTACCTCCACAATAGAAAAATGAAGCTAAAATCCTCCAGATATTATTATGCTGCTGAAGTCATTTGGACCCAGAGTCTGCACAGTTGCGATCTCCGTGGTGTTGAGTTCCCGGCCATACACCCGTCTCAACATCCCAATTAGCAATCATGACCTCAGTCCCCATTTTTTTAACATCAAATAACCAATTAAAACCAAACTTCTTCGAAAAATGAACACTTGAACAAACATCTGAGCAACAAGAACTACCTAAAATGTATTTGACATGTACTTTGACATGTCCCCGTTAAAGGGGTTTTTTTGGGGAGTTTTTCCTTATCCGCTGCGAGGGTCATAAGGACAGAGGGATGTCGTATGCTGTAAAGCCCTGTGAGGCAAATTGTGATTTGGGCTTTATAAATAAAATTGATTGATTGATTGATTGATTGATTGATTGACTTTGATCTTTTAGTTTGACCCATGTTCCATCTGCTAACATGGAGGGGGCGGGGTATATAAACAATACTGCAGCCAGCCATCAGGGGGCGATTGAGATGTTTTGGTTTTATTTGTGTTGTTCATCTTTATCTTACAGTATGTGTTTGTGATTGACAGATGATATCCTTGATTACATTTTAGAAGGCTTAGCCTATTTGATGGGAAGTGACTGATTATATATCTATATTTGTCTTTTTCCTCTTAATCTACATAATATTTCTGTCTTCATTGTGGTTTTTCGTACTATGGGCCTTTGGGTGATCATGACCTCTGAGGGCTAATTTTTACATGTGACACAGTATATATTATTACCAATTATTCAGAGTAATTTACATTTACCATGCCATCACACTGCATCCTGCTAAACCTATTTACTGAGCTCTGCTTTGCCTTTATGTTTTTGTTCAGCTAATTTGTTATAACGTCTGTGTGCATACCTAATCACCTGTTGATGTACCAAAGTAAATATTTTGTTTCCTTATTGCTGCCTCTGTATAATTAACACTGCAAAAGGTCTACATGTTGTTCATGTGAATATAAAGAGCTTACCTTCTAAAACTGATCTCTTGGCGTATTTACAATAAACCCAGTGTAATTACACTTTCAGAGACATAATTGAAAATTAGTATCTCTGATAATGAACTCTTTGAGCTCTGCAGTACAACTGGTCAGCCAGTGCCTGCATTGCTACTTTTGCTTATTGTAATGCCATTACAGTATCTTCAAATGCTTCATATACTAAAAATCTGTACAACCTATGCTAAAGGGTTATCTCAGTCAATTAACAATAATAATACTACAGATTTATGTGTTGAAATTGTGTCATTTGAGTGTTTTTTTTTTCAGCAGATTTTATAACCATATTGTTCCTAAATAGTTTTTAAAAGTTAACACATCAAGAATTCTTCACACTCATAAGTCATTTGTACTATGTACATTTTTTTAGTTTTTGAGACATACTCATTTTTATGACCACAGTGCAAAGCCCTTATGACAGATTTATTGTTCATTCCTCTGGTGCCACCATACATTTTTAGTGTGGTTTTGCATCACATGCCATGTAGCGCAATGACGCCATTATGAGTGTACAACTTGATGACACAGAACGAAGAAGTCTTATCTTGCTTCTGGAAAAAAGAATGAATATTTTAACTTATGGTTTTATGCAAATAGCATTTCCTACGGCCATGACGGAGAAATCCCTGGGGAAATTACTGCAAAATACTACATTTGCACCACATGTAAGGTGAGATGAAAGGTAATGCCATAATGATAGAGAGGACCAAAACCTTGGTGTTCTGCTGCTGCTGCAAAAAAGAATGTTCTAGCTTTTATGGTTTTTATTTTAGATTGATTATATACAGAATTACACAAATGATGCAACATTACCAGGAAATACCGATGTAATTACAACAAAGTTTGCACAACATGTAAGGCAAGGCAACGTACGATCATGACTTGATGAGAGGGAAGACAGAAGCTAGATTTTTCCTGCAAAAAGAAAGCACACTTTGGCTACTATGCCTTTTATATCTGTTAAAACCGCATCATGCAAACAACAGTCTAACACGTCCATCTGTGGGATGTACAGTACAGGCCAAAAGTTTGGACACACCTTCTCATTCAATGCGTTTTCTTTATTTTCATGACTATTTACATTGTAGATTCTCACTGAAGGCATCAAAACTATGAATGAACACATGTGGAGTTATGTACTTAACAAAAAAAGGTGAAATAACTGAAAACATGTTTTATATTCTAGTTTCTTCAAAATAGCCACCCTTTGCTCTGATTACTGCTTTGCACACTCTTGGCATTCTCTCCATGAGCTTCAAGAGGTAGTCACCTGAAATGGTTTCCAACAGTCTTGAAGGAGTTCCCAGAGGTGTTTAGCACTTGTTGGCCCCTTTGCCTTCACTCTGCGGTCCAGCTCACCCCAAACCATCTCGATTGGGTTCAGGTCCGGTGACTGTGGAGGCCAGGTCATCTGCCGCAGCACTCCATCACTCTCCTTCTTGGTCAAATAGCCCTTACACAGCCTGGAGGTGTGTTTGGGGTCATTGTCCTGTTGAAAAATAAATGATCGTCCAACTAAACGCAAACCGGATGGGATGGCATGTCGCTGCAGGATGCTGTGGTAGCCATGCTGGTTCAGTGTGCCTTCAATTTTGAATAAATTCCCAACAGTGTCACCAGCAAAACACCCCCACACCATCACACCTCCTCCTCCATGCTTCACAGTGGGAACCAGGCATGTGGAATCCATCCGTTCACCTTTTCTGCATCTCACAAAGACACGGCGGTTGGAACCAAAGATCTCAAATTTGGACTCATCAGACCAAAGCACAGATTTCCACTGGTCTAATGTCCATTCCTTGTGTTTCTTGGCCCAAACAAATCTCTTCTGCTTGTTGCCTCTCCTTAGCAGTGGTTTCCTAGCAGACCATGAAGGCCTGATTGGCGCAGTCTCCTCTTAACAGTTGTTCTAGAGATGGGTCTGCTGCTAGAACTCTGTGTGGCATTCATCTGGTCTCTGATCTGAGCTGCTGTTAACTTGCGATTTCTGAGGCTGGTGACTTGGATGAACTTATCCTCAGAAGCAGAGGTGACTCTTGGTCTTCCTTTCCTGGGTCGGTCCTCATGTGTGCCAGTTTAGTTGTAGCGCTTGATGGTTTTTGCAACTCCACTTGGGGACACATTTAAAGTTTTTGCAATTTTCCAGACTGACTGACCTTCATTTCTTAAAGTAATGATGGCCACTAGTTTTTCTTTAGTTAGCTGATTGGTTCTTGCCATAATATGAATTTTAACAATTGTCCAATAGGGCTGTCGGCTGTGTATTAACCTGACTTCTGCACAACACAACTGATGGTCCCAACCCCATTGATAAAGCAAGAAATTCCACTAATTAACCCTGATAAGGCACACGTGTGAAGTGGAAACCATTTCAGGTGACTACCTCTTGAAGCTCATGGAGAGAATGCCAAGAGTGTGCAAAGCAGTAATCAGAGCAAAGGGTGGCTATTTTGAAGAAACTAGAATATAAAACATGTTTTCAGTTATTTCACCTTTTTTTGTTAAGTACATAACTCCACATGTGTTCATTCATAGTTTTGATGCCTTCAGTGAGAATCTACAATGTAAATAGTCATGAAAATAAAGAAAACGCAATGAATGAGAAGGTGTGTCCAAACTTTTGGCCTGTACTGTACGTTTTTAAAATTCGTCAACTATGTTTTGTACAGAACTGACAGGGGTGCTAGACGAGCAGTGGCTACTCTTTAAACCTGTCTTAAGAGACCTAATAGAACCTGGTGTATACCATCAAACGGTCTATCCGTCCTCGGAGATCGTTGTAGGGCTGATTTGATGGCTGCTAGCCATCTTTCTGTCTCAGTGTTGGTGTATAAAGAGTCGACATCGATGGAGAAGAGGTAAGTGCCGATAGGTACCTGCAGGGTCGACAACTTGTGGACAAAGTCATGGGTCCACGTCACTGGTTCAACATCCCATTAGTCTGACTGTCCGCGCTGCTGAACGGCTCGCTGCGGGCGTATGGTGCGCCGCGGCAGGCGTATGGTGTGCCGCGACCGGCTCTGGGTCAGCTGGGAAAGGCTTGAGGCGGAGCAGGCTCACAGCTTATGTGTTTGTCACTTTCTTTTTCATTTTAATCCACACCACGATCTTTTCCTGACCCTAACCAAGTGGTTTTTGTGCCTAAACCTAACCAGACCTTAACCACAGGGCATCATGATGATTTCGGATTGGACTTCGGATCAATGGGATGACGAACCAATGGGCAGTTCCCCACAGTCATAAGTATCTTTGACATAACTCGGATGTATTTCAGCTGGAGGGTTAATATAATAATCAATATAACCCGCCACACAATATGACTCCGATCCACAGTTGCTCACTATCGGTCTTCCTGCCAGGATTTTAAAAGGCACAGTCCAAGACTCTGGAGCTTTATGGATCTTCAGCAACAGAAGAGAGGCGGATGAGGATTTTCAGGACCATACAGGTAAGTAAGTTGTTTAAAATTTAATTTTTTTATTGTATAATTTGTCAATAATGGATTGTATTAAAAATTGTGTTTCAGGTTGCATCGAGGGTGGGAGCGGGATATAATAGTTATTATTTTCCAATTGTCTATTTGCCTCGATGAGGTAGTTGGTTCTATCTTGGAGAACAATCTGGCCACCTTTGTCCGCCGGTTTAATGATGACATGATCCAGTTTTCTTAAAGCTGCTAAGATCTGTCATTGATCCCCTGTGATGTTATTTCAAATATTAGTTAAGGAGATTTTAAAGGCTGTATAAGCAATTATGTCTTTACTGATTAATACCCGAATTGGTGAGGAGACCATTTTGAAGCCGGCTCCCACGTGGATGGATTTTTAAACGTTAGGTAAGTATAGTCCTGTTCATAGTTAAAATGATCCAATATTTTCAACCTTCTGTGGTAATTATATACATCT